CAGGGCTTCATAGGTCTTTCGGAAGTGGAACCCATATGCAGATTCACACAGGTCAGAGACAGATTCAGAGATACTTTAGCGTAAGTAATACTCCTAACTCACATAGAAGGCCCCTCAAGATCAACACGCAGCACATACAGACAATCAGTTTCTCCCTCAAAGTCTAGTATTTTATGGGAAAAGGGGATGGAAGGTGGGACATTAATGTTTGTGAATTACAGTGTTTGTGCCCCAGTTACCAGTAAATAACCTCTCACATCCACACTGCAAGCAACACCAGATTATCCACTGTTCCTTTCATATTCTCCTGGCTCTATCTTTGTATATGCAGCCACCTGCAAAAAAACCCCACCATATCACTCCGCAACAGCCCTGAGACTGATAAAAATGTAAATCAAATCCAGGTCACTGCTTTTATACACATCTGGAATGGAGGAATTTACTAACTAAACCTACAAAATATTTCAAGCTTGTTTTGGAAATCGAACACAGACAGCAAAGCCTATCTGACTGATGAGATATATATCCAGCAATCCAGTCACCTATGGAATAGGACTGAAGTTGGGATGACAAAAAACGATTTCTACAGGTCTGGATACAAAGCCATGTCTGCCTCAACCAGAACTACTATTGCCTACACTCGTAAGACATACTTCAGCTTCCCACATGTTCAGATATGTCTCAGGCAGGAATATGACCACAGACAGACCTGGGATGGAGAATCCAGTATTTTTTATTTCTATCTGCCCCAGCCTTAGAAAAACAAACCAACCAACCTTCTGGAAAACATTGCTGAAAACCTCCTCATTCATATATTATCTATGTGAAGCCAATGATCTGATCATCTGCTGGCATGTCATAGAATCACAGAATGCTTTGGGTTGGAAGGGACCTTTAGAGGTCATCTAGCCCAACCCCCCAGCAGTGAGCAGGGACATCTCTAACTAGATCAGGTTGCGCAGAGCCCCATCCAACCTTGAGTGTTTCTAGGGACGGGGCCTCCACTACCTCTCTCGGCAACTCGTTCCAGTGCTTCACCACCCTCATTGTAAAACATTTCTTCCTTATATCCAGTCTAAATGTACCATCCTTTGGTTTAAAACCGTTACCCCTTGCCCTGTCACAACAGGCCTTGCTAAAAAGATTCTCCCCATCTTTCCTGTAGGCCCCCTTTAAGTACTGGAAGGCCACAATAACGTCTCCTCACAGCCTTCTCTTCTCCAGGCTGAACAACCCCAACTCTCTCAGCCTGCCCTCATAGGAGAGGTGTTCCAGCCCTCGGATCATTTTGGTGGCCCTCTTCTGGACCCGCTCCAACAGGTCCATGTCCTTCTTGTGCTGAGGACTCCAGAGCTGGACGCAGTACACCAGGTGAGGTCTCACCAGAGCAGAGTAGAGAGGCAGAATCACCTCCCTCGACCTGCTGGCCACGCTTCCCTTGATGCAGCCCAGGATTCGGTTGGCTTTCTGGGCTGCAAGCACACATTGCCGGCTCATGACAGCTTTTCATCTACCAGTACCCCCCAAGTCCTTCTCTGCAGGGCTGCTCTCAATCCCTTCATCCCCCAGCCTGTATTGATATCGGAGGTTGCCCCATCCCAGGTGCAGACCTTGCACTTGGCCTTGTTGAACCTCATGAGGTTCATACAGGTCCACCTCTCCAGCTGTCCAGGTCCCTCTGGATGACATCTTGTCCTTCTGGCATGTCAACCGCACCACTCAGCTTGGTGTCATCTGCAAACTTGCCGAGGGTGCACTCGATCCCACCGTCTATGTCACTGATGAAGATATTAAACAGCACTGGTCCCAGTATGGACCCCTGAGGGACACCACTTGTCACCGGTCTCCATGTGGACATCTACCACCCGTTGACCACTACCCTCTGATGCAACCATCCAACCAATTCCTTATCCACCAAACAGTCCACCCATCAAACCCATACCTCCCCAATTTATAGAGCAGGATGTTGTGGGGGACTGTGTCAAACGCTTTACAGAAGTCCGAACAGATGACATCCATTGATTTTCCCTTGTCCACTGACGCAGTCACTCCTTCATAGAAAGCCACTAGGTTAGTCAGGAAGGATTTGCCCTTGATGAATCCATGCTGGCTGTCTCAAATCACCTCCCTGTTTTCCATGTGCTTGAGCTCAGCTTCTAGGAGGATCTGTTCCATGATCTTCCCAGGTACAGAGGTGAGGCTGAGAAGTCGGTAGTTCCCAGGGTCCTCCTTTCTTCCCTTTTTAAAAATGTCCTGAGGTCCCAGCTAGGTAAAACTCCAGAAAACATGTATGCACCAATTTCAGGTATTCCCCCACCTTTCTAGTTCACACAGGAAATGCTTGAATTGCTAACTGTTCCATTACAGCCAAACAGAGATCTTTTCAAAGGTGACACGAAAATAAGCGTCTTCATGTCCAAGAGACACTAACTGATCCCTGTCCTAAAATGACAGAAGTGTTATTGCCAGCGACACCAAATTTCACTTGTGAAGAAATGGAGGTTTTTCCACTTCTTGAATTCCAGATGGTACAAAATACCAAATCTTGAATTCCATAATTGGTACCAAAGAGGAAAAGAAAACAAGCAGCTGCTGAAACATCCTTCTTCAAGCAACAGGGGATTGAATCTAATGCTCCAACATCAACTAGGGAGAAAGCTCCAGCTGCTGTGGTCTCTCATACACAGAATGTGGGATGCTGGAAGCAAAGTCACAAAACTGGATACAGTATCCTGGATATAATTTCTGATCCATTTGACTGGTCTTGCTCAGTTTGTCCTCAAAGGCAGATGTACAGGCAAAGCAGGGGTGGGGAAGGAAGACAACTGAAATAGAACTGATAGATAAAGACTTCTCACACATACTCCTGTCCATGCTCTCTTGGCATAACTGACTATGTGGAGTCATCAGAAATGGCCAGCAGATTATGGGTGTGGAAATGGCACATTCTCCTCTAAAGTTCCTCAGAGAGATTAATTCTAAAAGTGGAACAGCATGGATTATAAGGGTGCTTCTTTTTATGTGTTCCTTGAGGAATTATTTGCCTCCGTCAGGGAGCTACCAATTAATTCCTTTCATGAGAAAAGCCTTTCCACCCAACACAAGTTTTGCATACCAGGAGACATTTTGCAATTGCCGCTGTGATCATTGACAGACCAGCTGTATTAGCAATATATGTCATCTGCAGAAAGCTGCTCACACCGGCAGCTGTCTCTCACCAACAAGGATGAAAACATGCCAAGAACAGATGGGAATGAAACCCTAAGACTCAGGCTAAACTAAAAAGGCAGAGCTCATACCTGTCAACCAATACTTGGTAACAGACTATTTTAAATTTAGTAATAGCCAAGGAATAGCAGCATCTTCCTAGATTCCAGTCTTTGATCTAGTAGGAAAACATTTTTCCTGAGTCATATAAAGTTACTTTAAAGTTATTCCTACAGTAGTGGGTGTCAGAAGGAATTAACTCCTCTCCAGCCATATAACAAAAATTTTGGGTCACAGACAGACTGAATTGCTTTGAGACTATCAACCTGGAGGAGAAAGCTATAATCTGTTGTCATTGCTCTAACTCTATTGAAGTGGACTGTCTGTAAATTTTATTCAGGCCTAGACAGTCGTCATTTTTAGGTTCTTACAGTTTGCTAGAATTAGAAAAACTGGTAACATTTAAGATGAAAAACGAGCTCGCTTTCCATAGTTGTTTGCTTATCTTTGCACAGCAAGTAAACGTTTCTACAGAATACACTGGATCATTAATTATTATTTCCAGACCATATTCTTTTACTAAGAATAATTTCTACCTTATTTACAATAAAATACAGAAAGCTAATGAAGGCCCTGAGTAGAACAACTCAGAAATAGCAGAAGTGAACTGGGTCCATTTAAAGACCAACATGCCCCTAAGTAGAATCATAGAATCATTTAGGTTGGAAAAGACCTTTAAGATCATCCAGTCCAACCATTAACCTACACTACCAAGTCTACTCTAAGCCAATCAAGGGTAGACTAGACTAAACCATGTCCTGAAGTGCCACATCTACCCGTTTTTTGAACACTTAAGTACCAACAGCATAAACAAACTGTACAAATAGACATCTCCTTCAGCAGATTTCTCCATTCACATTGAGTAATGTTACTTTCTTCTTTCATTTGCCTTTAAAAAACAAACTCACACAAGCTTCACTAGCTTTGACAGCAAAACAGCTAGAAGCTGACTTTATGGTGTGGCCGACAGTTCTTGGCATATTAAGCTTCACAGTGAAAGAAGAGTAAGACATTGCAAATTCTATTTCCTTGAATTACCTGAATTCTATTCAATACAACAATAACACTCATCAAGTAGTTTACAGAAGATAACTACTCGCACAGCTGAGAACATTTCTGAGTATTCCAAAATATTGTAATAAACTCAATTTCTTAAACTTAAAAAACTTTAAAAGTTTAACTTAAAAAGTAGAAGGGATGGATTAATTTTGCTCCCTCTGTTACAGTTTCAAAACTATTTTTAAAAAAGCATTAAGAATACCAATATAAGAAAGGGTACCGGCACAGTATTTTCTTGTTAGTTTTAGAGCATTAATGTCTGTGGTATTTGAGAAAGGACAGATCATCACCAGCACATGTTGTTGCAAAATATCATACATCTTGCTTTAATTGCAATTGTGAAACAACACTGTGTAACAGCATAAAATTAGTACACAGCGTAACTGTTTCTGATCTCATAAAATAAACTGCAAAATAATTCACACTAATTAGAACATTTCTTAAAGTAATGTGAAAATAAGCACTTCTATGATCTTCATTATAGCAATCAGTATCATGGCACAGTGAACGCTCACATTTCAACTACAATTTTAAATTATTCAAATTACATTACAAATAACAATTAAAGAAATTGTTATTTGTAAGTACACACAGAGAAACTTTTATAAAACTTTATCTGAAAGTATGCCATAAAGAGAAAAACATTTTGAATCGTGATTAACGCATGCTCTCACCTTCAGTGGAAGCCTGGAATTCTCAAAGATCTTTGCAATGGTAGAAAAAATACCACACATGAGTGCAGAAATCAGCACCATCACTCCAACTGCTGTTAACCAGGACATACTGCAGAAATAGCATAAACTTTCTGCTGATGTGCATACAATGACATGAACTGCACACAGCATCAGACACATCAAGTAAAACAGCAGAGAGAATAGTGGAGGGGAGAGGGGCACTTCAAATTCTGCCCGGCTGCTCAGGGCTTTTGGAACGCTGAGCAAAAGCAGCAGCAGAACCTAGAAAAAAAATAGAGAATTAATACTTAAAGAATTGGAGTTAGCTAAAACATACTGTGAGAATTCACACAAAAAATCATACTGTTGTCATCCATGTCACTCTGCTAGTATACAAACTTCATAAAAAAAAAAAAATGTGAAGAACTATGCTGGATTTTTTGACCCCAGTAAGATATTACCATATAAATGGGAGAATCAAAGATTGCGTTTTCATTTATTAAGATCTTGGACACACAAGTTACCAGAGTTTAATAAATTGTCATGCATCTCCTCACTTGTGGTAACTGATCATATGCATGATCTTCATTCCCTGCAAAAGTAAGAGTTTTAACTCCCAATATCAAAATAGTTCCTGAGCAAACAAATTTGACCCATTATTTGTCACCTGTAAATGCCTAAAGTTACATACACACTCTACCAAAGGCCATTTATCTCACAGTGTATGAGATACACATAGAGAGAGATCCTGCTGAGTTAAATAGCTTCCCAGACCTGGGAAAGTTCTCATTCTATCACACAAGTGTATGCTGCATTTCAAGCTTATGAATTCTCCTGGTATTTATTTTTTGCACCCCTCCTCATCTTAATTTGATTTATTGGTTTTACTTTCACTTTGCTCTAACCTGCACAGAGATCAGGCAGAATTCCAAGCTTCCTCTCAGGCAACTGTACCAGTGGAGATGAACAATATCATTAATAATTTCTGCTACCCATGTACAAACCTTTACAAGGGAAGGGAAAATTCAGCCACATGCTAAAATGCTTTTTAAGGGGCACAGATGGAGCTAGGACTAGACTAGCTCAATCAACTTGTGCTAGGGCAAGGTTAAAACAAATCAAGATAAAAACAACTATATCAGACCATTGCCAGCCTGTAATCTTTCACCCTCACTTGTGAAGACCTCTGCCTAATACAGAGGTATAGTATAATTCCCACAATACAGCAAGGTATAGTAAAGTAGACCAAAAAAATCCAATGCATTGCAGTAGTCTTCCTTCTTCTTGATATTCTGCTTCACACAGTTCACTTGGTTATGAAAATATGAGGTTTCACAGTTATCAAACTGGCTTAGGTCTTGCCTTCTAACACAGCACTTACAATTAAAACAAAGACAGCACTCATGATAGAAAAATGCTCAAATTTTAGTTATCTACAAATCTAAATTTAGCTCTTTTGAGCAAATGCACTGTTATCAATTCACGTCTAGGTAGTCTCCTCATATGAAATACAGAATAAATGGCATTCATAACATGGTGTAGTTTGAAGCCACCTGTGAGATTCCCTACCCTTATTTATTCAGTGAGGGTGAAAAATACATATCAAGACAAAAAGATTTTGGAAAGCAAGGCAGTTTCTTGAGTACTGCACTGGAGAAAAGAAAAAAATCCAGCAGTTTTGCACCGAGTCTTACACTGATGCTGAGCAAGCTCTTGTCAACCAAAATTCTCCCAGTTAGTAGCTGCATGTTTCTTTCGATGAAGGCCCATTGAGTAAAATACCTGAGATCTGTTTTATAGAAACAGTAAGCATCCACAACTACATTCCAGGAAAAAAAAGAAATCCAATGCTTCAGGTCCAAAGTAATTGTCAAGAGCTTGAACGCATAGGTTCCCAAAACAACAGAACAAAAAAGAAATACAAGCACTTGCTTGTATTATACAACACAGCTTTGCATTGAGCTTTGTCCACCTCCAGATTTTCCATCTGTAGAGTGGGAACAGAAGCTACCATCTCATCTCCCAATGGCACTGTGGAACTAATTCCTGTGAAGTGGTCAGCAGAGCGATAAACCCCACTGAGCAATCTACCAGAAAGCCATTTCAGATGTACTCTGTACACAGAGAACAGTGCATATGAAACAAGGCATACAATCCTGCCAGGACAAAGGAGACTCAAATACTAAATACCTGCTCAGGTATTGTTACCCATTCCAGACACTGAACAGGACCAGTGCTACAGCAATTACAGTACAGCACACACATGCAAGGACTAAATTAAGCTTGTAGTAGGTATTTCCATCCTAGGGAACACTTATTCTTACATTTGACACTCGTGTCATCTAAACCATCAGTGCAAGCTTCTGTTCATGTAAGTTCAGTGTCCAGGCATTGTATCCCTTCAGCATGGTTCTCAAAGCATTACCACAGAGGGTGTTTCCAGCATTTGAGATTTGCCCAAAGTATCAGTTGCAGACAACCACTTAAAATTCCAGGCATGGGGTATCTTATCTTTATTCCTACACGAGACATTAAGTGGCAACCCAGCACCTTACAGCAAGCATTTATTTCAGGGCTCTACACCTATCAGTACAAAGAACAACTCTTGGAATTGTGAAAATTGCCCACACTATGTATTGCCTGTTCTGAGCAACTACACTCACTGTTAGATAAAGAGGAAGAGGCAGGAACTTACTTGCCAGACTTTTTTTTTTAATGCAATAAGGCTCCTCAAAAAGTAGAAGGCTAACTAATATGGGAGTAATTTAAGTTGTAGCACATCGGCATATTTACTGTAACTAGTTACACCAGAACATAAGTAGCTTATATCAAAAGCTCTCTTGAACAATTTTAAAGGCTAGGTTGTACCTTAAAATGAATATTGACCTCATCCAAGCAGAAAGCCAAGTCTAAGAGTTCATACTCTGTAATTCTAAAGACCAGTATGAGTATACACTAAGTAGTCAAAAACCAGAAACTTTTATGTTTGTGCACTTCACTTTTTCACAGAAAGATGTATTTTTATACCTCCATAATGATCACAGTCCCCACCATCATCGAATACATGTCATATTGTGCCACTTGTTTGCTCAGTGAAGAACTCAGAGTCTTCAGGGCCTCCAAATATTGCTTCAGGACCTTTTTGCCAAGATTTAAGAGTATTTCTGAATTATTTCCCTCTAAATACAGTTTGATCCAATTACCATGGGACTTTTCTGCTATCTTAAAATGTTCATATCCAGGATCTAAGAAGGGGGGAAAAAAAAAAAAAGAAAAAGAAAAGAGGTAAGAAGATCCATGAATGAAGGAGGATTAATTAGAGATGTGATCATATTTTTATATTTGCTTGTATAGTATTAAAAAAATTGCTATGGGTGTTGAAAATTTTTTCATACCTAGAAAGTTACATTATCTTCCTGCAGCAAGACCATAATGAGGCAGTTACTCAGAATAAAAGCAATTAATCCCTAACCTGATAAAATGTCAAGACTTCTAAAAGTGACAAACGTATTAAAACATCCATTTACTCTTACAAAAGGTTTCCAGGACAAACTTATTCAAATGCTTTAAATCCTGAAAAAAGTCACATTTTCCACTGGAGCCCCTCATTATCTAGGCATATTGTACAAGCCAAGTGGGAAATTATCAAATAGCTGATCTCTGGAGGAAACATCAAAAGACACACACACCATATTAGGGACCTCGATTTTCCTGCAAAGCTAATAAGAGTCAGTTGGTAACACGAAGTTAAACACACAGGATGCGAGATTTTGAAGCAGTAATAAAAAAGTTACCAGCTGAAGTGCATGGTTTGGCTTCACGCACATGGACTATGAAGCTGGTGCAAAGCAATCCTGGGCGGTGAAACTTAGTAATTCTGTTATAGTGTAAGGATGGCCCGCAGTCTAACTTGATTAAAAAAGAGAAAAACTGATGCTGCCACCAAACTATGGAAGCAAGACTCTTGTGGAAGAATGTGATTTCATGATGGCCTACCTGCACCTAAAAAAATTCTGACCTGAAGAAAATAAACAAAAAACAAAATAAAACCGAACAAATAATAAATTAAGAAAAACTCAGGGAAAAAACCCAACTTCCAGGACACAGATCTCTTTGTCTATAGGTCAACTTCCAGGAAACCAATCGCTTGTCTACTTAGGTAATATTTTCTAGTAGAAATGTAGTTTTGATTAAGTCTTCTGATAAATCTATTTGTAAACAGGACTGCAGGTGAACACTGACAACACATATGAAGACTGTGGTCTGCTTTCAGAACTGGGGATGAGGACAAGACTAGCACTAAACCATGTCCCTGAAGGAAGCAATTTTAAATCAACTCCTTACATTTCATAAATAAGGAACCATTGAATTCTGTAGGTTCAGGTTTTAATGTGAGTATGCTTTTTAATATAGGTACAGAGACATCACAGTTTCTTTTATCTCACTTTTATACTGTAGAAACACATCTGCATTACTCTATTCTCTCTAAATTTATTTTAAAAGCTTGAGTGAGGACAACAGGAGACACAGGAGAAGCAAACAGCCAAATACTACATTTTAGAAGTCCTTTGCAAGTACAACAGCAGTAGCTTTTCTCCTACAAGTACTTCCCTTCACTGTTTTTTCCACAGAACCCCTACTTTGCACCAACTGTTCTGGTTGATACACACCAGAGGGTAGGTGCAGAGAGACAATGATTTGAGATGATTCAAAGGATTTATGAACGTACTCTACTGCTTTATTCTTCCATCAACTACTGTTGATTTTCATCATCAACTCTCCCATTACTAAACATTTACGCAAAAAGCTGCAGCACAACAAGCTGAGTCTTGATAGCCTTTTTACTTCCCCAAAAGATATATTCAGCAGTGACAATAAACAGATTCTGCAGTCAAAAACAGATGAGCATCATTTTGTTCACACAGGAAAAAGAATGTAAACACTCACTACAAGCATAAAGGTAAAAAAAAATTAAAAGCTTTTCTGCCAAAATTATTAGTGTAGGTCCTATGTGCACCTGAAGAGCATTCTAGTCACTTCATGTAAGTTTAATTTCAAGAGCATTTATTTAAAATAGAACAGTTAAGTCAGATTCTGTGTTTTTCTGTAAATGTGGAAAATGGTGTTGCTCCTGAAAGCACTTAAGACATGTTTTTCCTCTTCATTTTATAGATGCATCACCCCATACTCCAACATGCCATATGATATTTAAAATATTGGTCACTGAGTATGGTATGCAATCATAACATAAATTCAGTCAACAACATAAGAGCGTAACTTTGAGAAACTTGTATTTCACTAGACATTATGCTATGTGTGAACATTCACATATATCTGTATTTTTTGCAAGAAATAAATGTTTAGTTTCACTTCACATTAATAATCCTTGCTATTTCCCTGCTATTTCACTTGAAAGTTAATGACAACTTAAGGGCAAAATGCCAATTTGGAAATTTTTATATAATGAGCCTATCATTATCTTCCCATCTTGCAATCCTTACCTTCTTAGCTAAAAGTAGGGCAAAACATTTGCCGTACAGTTTCAAATGACAGGGGATAAAGCAATGACTGAACTAAGTTTGTTGTCACCAAGACTTAAGTTACGTCTCAGTTTTACTGCTGGTAGATCAACAGTGTATCAGACTTGGAAAAAAACCAGCATGTTCTTTGTTAAGCCCTTTCAGCAAAAGTACGTTATTAAACTCAGGAATGTTTTTAATTCTATTTCAAGTGAAAGAAGACGAATGAAGTATTTCTAGTCACAATTCTTGTAGAGTTATGAAAGAATTGTGTTTACCATTAGTAAGTCTCTTATCACTACAAGACACTGATCTACTACAGGCTGAATTCAAAGTGAGAATTTTGGAACGCAGTGTTTAATTCGGAATGTCCAGTCTGGTTTCCCAAGACTTCTAACAGACTCCAAAGCATGCTGATCCTACTACACAGGAGGCTTGCAGGTATCTACTAGAAAGTACAATTCAGCCAGCAGTGAACTCTTGTACACCTAGATAGCTGCCAGTGCGCATGGAGACTTTCATTTTCCTACTGTAGTTCTTTGAACAGTGAATTACCTAGAAAGTTCCTCTTCCAGTATATTTGAAATAAGAGTTAAATATTCATACTTTTGAGGAAATCCAGAAATCCAGAAAGGATCATCTAAAATGAGCTTTAATCAAACTGAGATTTGACATGACACTATTTAATTAAACAGAACACTGAAACGAGTTCAAGGTAAATTTTGAAATCTAAATAAATTCTCTCCACATCTGCTGCTGCTGTTCTGATCTCTTTTCATGCTTTTTGCCCAGTCTCCCTCTTCATTCCTTTTAGCACTTTTATTTCACTTTCTTCTACCTCCTTCCATACCACTGCCCACCAAACCCATTCTGTCCATGTTACAAAAGACAATTGTTCTAGTCAAACCCCCATTTATATCTTTGATATATATTAAGTGAATGATTTAAAGATCCTGCAGAAAGGAATAAAGGATCACCATTACTGAATTTCCTTTAAGAACTCCAATAATATCTGTTCAGTGGCACATTTGTATGCAGTAAGTACAAAATGAGAAGGGTCATAGACTCTGGGTTGTCGGAGAAGCATTTTGGTAACTGGTGGGTAACATTTGCAAGTCGCTCCTGCATGGGATACTCACAAGACAAGTTAAACTTGAGGCAAAATCCAAAGCGAGCTTGCCCAGTTACAGGTTTCCCAAAGTAATGGCAATGGTTTATTTGTATAGTACAGTATATTACACTAGCATCTTTTGCTTCAGACTCCCTCCAATGTCATCACAAGCAAATGGCTATGCTTCCCAAGCATCTGTTTGATAACAATTTCACTTAGTTCCAGTCACAGGCAGCAACCATTTAAAAAAAAAAAAACAAACTATAAATGTAAAAAAAGAATGGATAATGTAAAAGTGAATTCTCCAGTTTCAGTATATAAATCTCCCAGCAACAATCAAATTATTTCAATCAACACATGCATCTAATACAAGTTCCGGATTAGTTCCAAATTGAAAAGTGGACACTCATTTTAATAACAACATCCAACTTGCTCTCATGTGACTTTTCATTCCACTGTGAAGTGCCTCTCAAAGAAACAATCCTACTTCATCATCCAGATCAATGCTCAGAACGTCAGAATATGAGGGAAACATTACTAGATACCTACAGCTGCCTGCCTTACGCTGAGGTATGAACTCACTCAGAAACCCGAAGTGTGTTTCTAGCTACTTCTCCTTTCAGCTTCTTCATTTTTGCCAGCTGTTTTTACTCTCCTTTTCCAGACTTTTTTTAGCTGCATGTGTCCACCTCTAGCAAAACAAAACCTAATGCCTCACGATAGCATTTATTAGTATGTTTCAAAAAAGTATTTTTCAAAATAATCAAGCCCCTAGTAAAGCGTCAAGTTTCTCACTTAAAATTTAATTTACCTGAAGTTAGGTTTAACCGTGAAGATTCCTTTGTACCTCAACAAATCAAAGCCCAAGTCCCATGAAATGCTGTACCACCTCTTGGTTTGAAATGCATGTTTGTATGAACAAACACTGGCAGAAAAAAAAGTTACTGAGCTGCCTCCATTCTGCTCTTTATTAACAGATATACTTAAAACACACTTGAAGATGAAGATATTTTTGTGTACTGTTCCAGTTTTTTCTTAACATTGAGTAGCTGAATCCAGGCAACTCCATAGCTTCCTCATGAAACAGCATGTAAAGGTCATTCTGCCTTCCCATCTGACTGTGATTCATCTCTTTTGACATCTGACTTCATCTTTTTGCATTAAAAAGGAAAGAACATTGCACCAAAAATGAATGTATACATTATGCTATAGCTTACAATGGGTCAATCTTTTCTTACCACAACTCAGTCATCATATTCAAGGTACTAATACCTGGTGCCCTACCTCTGCACTGCAAATTACAATACTCTCCACAGGAATTCCATGTTTTCCCCTTCAGAAGAACCTACTGGTTTTGAGCTGAAGAGTTGAAAATAATAATAATTTTAAAAAAAGCAGCAAGGCTTAGGCAATCCCTTCAAGTATCTTTCACTTTAAACTGAAGCTCCAGTCACAGGCATTTCTCTTAAGCTGAAATGTTATGATCCACCAGTTGTTACTAGCCAAGAATCAGCATTGGAACACTTGAACCTGGAGCAGCAAATGTGAGAGAGATGTCTAACTGGGTTATCTTGTGGGGTTTCTTTCTCTCAGAAAAACCGGCAGCACACCTTGTCTGTGGAATTCAGAAATGGTATGGCCCAAGACTTGTCAACACTACTCTGATCAGTGTCCAGATGGTCTACAAATGAAAACAAAAGGCTCAGAGCAGGGTGAGCTAGGGCAGATTGCTCAGAACTGTGTCCAGTCAGGTCTTGAACGTCTCCAGGTATGGAGATTCCACAGCCTCTCTGGGCAACTCATTCCAGTGTTTGACAACCCTTACATAACAAAAGTTTTCCTTCATTTAAACAAAATTTCCTGTATATAAGTTTATGCCCACTACCTCGTGCCTACTCATTGCGCACCACGAACTAGACCCTGGTTCAATCTTCTTTGTTCCCCGCCATCATGTATTACCTACATCAATAAGATCCCTGCTGAGTCTTCTCCTGCCCAAGCTGAACACTCCTAGCACCCTCAGCCTCTCCTTGTATAACAGATGTTCCAATACCTTCATCATCTTCATGGCCATTTGCTGCACTCACTACATTGTATCCATGCCTTTCTTGTACTGGGCAGCCCAGAATTAGACCCAGAACCCAGATGTGGTCTCACCACAGCTGAAGAAAGAGGAAGGACTGACCTGCTGATGACTGTCTTCCTAATGCAGTCTTGGATGCTGTTAGCCTTCCTTCCACAAGGGTGTATTGCTGGCTGATGTTCAACTTGATGTCCCCAAGGACCTCTTGTCCTTCTCCACCAAGCTACTTTCCAGCCAGTCAGTACCTGATCTGCACCAGTGCATGGGACTTCTTCGCAGGTGCAGGATTCAGCATCTCCCTTTGCTGAATCTTAAGAGGTTCCTGTCAGCCCATTTCTCCAGCCTGCCGAGGTGCCTCTGAATGGCAGCACACCCACCTACTGGATCAACCACCCCTCCCAATTCTGTATTGTGTGCCAACTTGATGAGGGAGCACTCTGCCCCATCGCCCAGGTCATTAATGAAGATGTTAAACAGTATCAGCTTGTGTCAAGCCCTGGGGTTGATCACTAGTGACTGGCCTCCAGGTGGACTTTGTGCTGCTGATCACAACCATGTGAGCCCAGCAGCTGAGCCACTTTTCAGTCCACCTCACTGTCTAGTTATCTAGCCTGAACTGCAACAGGGTGGTTGAAGCACCATATGAGCACCACAGATGCACAGAACATGGGGATTTCTCAAGCTGTCTGAAGATCTACTAATTCTTCCCAATCAGACTGCCTGTAGCAGACACCCATAATAATATTGCCCATGTTGGTCTGTCCACTAATCCTGACCCAGAAGTTCTCAACTGTTTCATCATCTATCCCCAGGCAGAGCTCCATGCACTGCCACTGCTCTCTCACATAAAGGGCAACTCTCCCTCCTCACCTTCCCAACTTACCATCATAGAATCACAGAATTGTTGACGTTAAAAGGGAAGGTACCTTTAAAGATCATCTAGGCTGCCCCTGCCCCCATGGGCAGGGACATCCTTCACTAGATCACCACTCATTACTGGTTTCCACTTGGATATTAAGCTATTGACTATAACGCTTTGGACATGGCCATCAGGCCAATTTCTTATCCATCTAAGAGTCCATTTGTCAAACCCATATCTCTCTAATACAGCACCAAGAATGTTGGGGGAGGCCGTATCAAAGGCCTTACAGAAGTCCAGCTAGATGACATCCATAGCTTTGCTTTTCTCTTGTCCATTGATGCAGTTACTCCAACGTAGAGGGCCACTAGAGTTGTCAGGCACAATTTGCCCTTCATGAAGGTTGGCCACCTCTAATCACCTTCCTGTCTTCCATATGTTTTGTTATGTCTTCCAGGAGGATCTGTTCCATGATCTTCCCAGAGGTGAGGCTGACTGATCAGTAGTTCCCAGGGTCCTCCATTTTATGCTTTTTAAAAAACTGGCTTCCTTCTTGAAGATGAATCTGATTACTGAATAAAATTAGTTCTTTGCAAGATAATCCCTTTCCTATAGGAATCACGACAGATATGCGTATGTGTGTATGTGCCTGTAGTGGGACAGGTGGGATGGTATTCATTTTCACTTAGAAGCCACCCAAAATAAAGGGCTATTCATGCAAGCATTAGTCACTGAGTTAGTGACATTTTCTTTAGTATTTCTAGGGCTTGAAGTATCCACATCAATCAAACAACGCTAAACAAACAGCACACCCCTTTTGCCTGCCAATCTTAACAGTCCTGACCAAAAGCATTAAGCTACAGCCTTACACATCTAGGACACTCTAAGAAAAATAAGACCCTCTAAGAAGTTCACAGCAACAGGGAAAATTCACCTTAAGACTCTATAAAAAAAGCTACCATGACTTGGATCTTCTTTCGTGTTACTGAGACTCTCCATTACTGAAAGAAGAGAAGCTCATTATGGATGCTTTGCCCCCCAGTCTCTTTCCAGTTGGGCAGCACCTCTAGAATCACAGAATCATAGAATCGTTTAGGTTGGAAAAGACCTTTAAGATCATCCAGTCCAACCATTAACCTACATTACCAAGTCCACTCTAAACCAATCAAGGGGGAGACTAGACTAAACCATGTCCCGAAGTACCACATCTACCTGTTTTTTGAACACTTCCAGGGATGGTGACTCCACCACCTCTCTGGGCAGCCTGTTCCAATTCTTGACTACCCTTTCCGTAAAGAAATTTTTCCTAATTTCCAACCTAAACCTCCCCTGGTGCAGCTTAAGCCCATTTCCTCCCGTCCTAAACCCATAGCAGTTTGCAGTCACAAGCAAGTAAAAATTTCTCACACCTCCATCCTCAGCAATTTTTATTTCATTTCTCAGATGAAAGCTACAAGTTGAAATTAAGCTGTTCCTAGACAAAAATAAAATGAAAGTGAAGATATAAACCAGAAGCTGGTAGAAACTTCAGTCTGTTTCACCAGTGCTTGCAGAAATACTGTCAGATGGAGCTTTGTGTTGGAATTTTCAGTAACACAGCCATATCATGAACTCCACCAACAGGGTAAGTTTCCTCACTTGACACAAATGGGTTAAGTGAGGAAATCTGTGCAGAAAAAAATATCAGAATAGATGGAGCACAGGTCCTGCTATTGACATGTTGCTACCATAAGCGGCATTTGTTTTGTTAGACTCCTGGACAGGGTTTAATGATGATTAGAAGCTGTGATGTTGAAAGATAATTAATTCTTGACCTACAATGATCATCTTGCTAAACTTTACATTGTTACCCACTTTAATTATTCATAGCTGTAACACAGCTCTGCATTCTCATCCAGTTATTTTAATGATTCAACAGATTATACAGGTGCCAAGGACTTAAAGCTTCACAGTCACTTTAAGACAACAACATCTTCTAATGTCCACGGTAAAATATTCTCCTTCATCCTCTGACTCAATTTTTTTCACGTAATTATCGTATTAACTTGCTTACTTATATTGCAGTTTGTATCATGCTTCCTAATAAAATACTACATTTTGCTAAGTTTTGTTTACTTTTTCCACTTGTTTTTTATTCTTTCCTCCAAATATAAACACATATATGGACATCTCTGTGTATTTTTAATATGCAATTTTGCAGTTCTCTAGGTTCTCACTCCAAGGAAATTCATACATAAGAATGACATAAAAAGATAACTTACCCTAAATTATTTCCCAGTTTTACTTGAAGCATCTTTTTATTTAAACTAGAATATTCACTCCTTTATGCTATTCCTCCAAATAGCTCAGAATCAGTGCCCTGTGTAGGATACCTCACAAACAGCAGATATGAAACCACTGACATTTAACTGCACTGGCAGTTTTACTTTAATCACAGAATCTTTTAGGTTGGAAAAGACCTTTAAGATCATCCAGTCCAACCAACAACCTAACAGTACCAAGTCCACCACTAAACCAGTTAAGGGTAGAGTAATAATTAATTTCATGTTTCCTGGCTTGGTGGTTGGATTATTTTTAATGGAAGTAAAACTAGGAATCACTAAGGGTGGAAAGGACCTCTAAGATCATCAGTCCAACTGCCAACCCAACACCACCATGCCTACTTTTCAGATGCCTTTCCACCTCATTTCAAACTCCAGATGCCTCAAGAGCTTCAGATCTTACTCTTTGATCATTATTTCTGCTTCTTTGCCTACTAGGATTAGTACTAGTCATTAAAAAAAATTTTATTCAGAGGCAGTGTGCCAGAGTAGGTTACCATAAATACTGAACTCGGTATCATGTCTCTGAACACCGCTCTCAACTGCATGGCTAATTTGCAGTGCCATGCTTTACTCTTGAACCTAAAAGCCCAAACTATGTTATAAACAATCTCCTTTTGTATGTGTAACTTTTTTTTTTTTTAGCTGATTTACCTTTTTCATACACAGGTGTATTCTCTTGCAGCAGCCTGCTAAGCTGGAACCCATTCAGGTGCACAAAACGTAGTTGGTCTCTCATTGTCTTGCCTCCCACAACTGGCAATATAAGGTTCCCAACACTGTTTCTTGAAATTGGTAGACCAAGACCTACTGCCAGTGTGCTAGCTAAATCAGTTTGTTGCACAAGTTCAGGTTGGGTTAAAGGACCTAGAATCAACAAAAAAAGGAAAAAGAAAAAAAAAAGAGAGAAGGGGGAAAAGTATCTCAGTAACAGGCCCATTCTATTTCTCCAGAGAGAGCTGGCATCTTGTTAGTTTCAAAATTTTTTCATTGTTGTTAGATCAGCTATTTCAAGTGATCTACAGAGAGCCAAGTGATCTTTTTCAGCTGCTGTCCCCTGCTGTTGTAAAACCAAAATCTATTGAATTCTCAGCAAGTATCACTCTTCAATGCTAGCAACTACTGTAAACACCACATGAATGTTATACAAGTAAGAAAAAAGATGGTCCAGGAGATCACCTTAGTATCAAGTTGCAGCCTACATCCTAAGAGGGTTTCATAACTTTCACCTTAGAAAGAATAGAAAGCACTACAATAGACTAATCTAATGCACGAATGAAGCATGAGTATCTCAAATATTGCTGACAGCATTCTAGAAACTTCTCGATATAATGACAACAGCTCAAGATTTAATTAATACCAGGTTGCTAGGTAAACAGAATTAGAGGTCAGGTAAAGAATGCTGAGGCCCAAATCCATGGCTCCATGCAGGCAAACCCAGTGATTTTTAAAGGATTCTGTACAAGACCCAATTACTTCACTGCAGTTATCAGGGTTAGCCTTCAGTTCCACAGACATCTACATGCATGAATGATTTCACTAACGTAAGCAACCTTTTGTTTAAGATTGTCTTTCTAATTGTTTCTTTGTGTGCTTTACTAGTTACATAACAGTGTTTTTCTATTATGCTTTTAGTTCATTCTCTTTGTAACTCCAGGCATTGAGTGTTTTGACTTAAGTAGAGTACAGAAAGAATTCTATATACAGTGTTCATTACTCTCAAGACTCCCTTTAAGAGCATTAGAGCTTCTCTCATTTCTCATCTAGCTCTGATTAATCCCATACTTGTCCAGAATGCCATCTATAATCCCTAAAGCCTCTTTGCATGAGTGCCTGTATGTCAGTTTTCAGATTTCATCTTTAAAGGCAAGTTCTTAACTGGTTAAAAAAAGCCAAACTACCAAATGCATTTAGCCAATCATGGGTGACACATCTCCGTAGAAGGCTACACAAGTAATATTTTGACAGCATACTAAATGCAAAAGCCCACAGGATTACTATTTTGAGGTCTACCAAATTAACCACAGTACATTTTGTTTACAGTAGGATCGTAAAGAACAGTCACTAGAATTCTGATTACTGTAGCAATGAGAAGCAAGCTGCTGGATATTTACATGGGCATTATTAGAAATCACAAACTTGATCCCAAAACATAGGTGAATAGATATATTTCACTGTATTGTAAAAACTGCATGTTTAGTTTAAACCTAAAAGAAACTAATCCCAAAGAACAAGAGATTGCATTTACAGAATCTACACTCATGTGGCATGGTTGTCAACACATACCAGTGAAATTTATGAAGCAAAAACTTAACAGAGAGCTTTGGTCAGCTCTTGCCTTTGTTTTGGTTTTATATCTGAAAAGAGTTCAATGACTCCTCAAGCAATGCTTTCTACTGCAGCTGGGTAACAGCTTTATAAATGACAGACAGACAAATCTACTTCCACTGTGCTGCAGGAACCTCCAGCAAGATAAACAAGGCAAGGTTCTGCAAACAGGCTTTAAAAGCAAGGAAATCAGATGGAAATGAGCAAGACACAGAATGAAAGGCAGAGGGAAATAGTATTTTGAAGAAAACATTCACTCCTGGTATAATTACATTTCAATGATTCACTCAGTCAAGGAGTTTATTTAAGCAAGACTATAAATTCGACTAAAGATCCTCTACCACACCATTCCCTTCTTGCCTCTTACTTTAAGTTATATTATACAAGTAGAAAGTGAGTTTCAGAAACAGATAAACTCACATCAATGATTTAGAATTAACTGGCCGATACAGTAAGTACACTCATGCCCATATTCTTTCCTTAATGCTTAGCGATCAATAGTGATGTTTTCACTGCTGTCATCTCTCACCCTTTCACAGAGCAATTCTTCCTCTTTCCTGTTACTCTCAGCATGAGAAATTGTCGTTCATTCCTCTATCCTGGCTGTCTGAGAGGGAAGAACGGAGGCCAGGGAAATATTCTGGCCAAGAAAGACAAAACCTGAAACTCATGTCAAATAGGATTTCACTTCTAATCCTATCCATTTACCAGTATCCCAGGATCCTGACAACAGATCTCATTAGCTCTCAACACTCACGTAGGACAGTGCTGCAAAAGGTTATCATCTGGGAAACACCCGATTCTCTCAGTGGTTACAAAGCTTAAGTCATGGTTTCATCATGACAGAGCTGCAAACTCTGGCTAAAACCAGAGTTTTAGGACACACAGAATGGGCCTTGCCAGGTATCTGTAGAAACCAAAGCACTTTTCAGGAAGAATTCTAGAGGTAATATAAATTAGACATGACACTGTGTTCTAAAACAGGTCAAACTTCTTTGATCCTTACCACTTCTTTTTTCAAAAGCGGAGCTGATAAACAGCAGTGGTGTGTGCACTTCTCCTTCTGAAGAACCACCATGGCTACCTGTTTCAGACATCCCATGATCTCCACAAACAACTAGTAAATTGGGCAGAGAAGCTTCTTCCTGCAAGTCACAGAAATAAAATTAAGTTACTGTACAAAGAAGATGCGTTTAACTCCCCAAGGGGGAGTTATTTCCCACAGCTGTTCAGAAGAGACTATTAACAGATGTTACCAAGGTCAGCCAGGAAATGCTTAAAAATGCTACATTATACTGTTAACTGGGGAATGGCCAGGGAAGGAACAGAACAGAATACCCACTTTGGTCTAGGAATAAATAAGCTACCACCCACAAACAAGCAAGCATTTTCAAGTTAGCCCACACCTAACAGACACTGATCCAAGAAGGAGCTACATGACCTTTGAAAGAAGAGAAATATGAATCTTCTTCAGGATGTTATCCATTTCGCGCAGTTTTGGTCCCACTAATGGGCTGTTTGGCCCAGTCATGTGTCCAATATGGTCCAATCCCAGATAATGTAGTATTAGGAGATCCCAGTCTTCTCTCTTTAACACTCTATCCAAATGCCTGGTAACATTATCATCAACCTCAAAAATAAAAGGAAAACAATTAAAAAGTAAAAATAATTTCCTTCTTTTAAGAAGAACAGAAAGATCAGATCACACCACCCATGAAAATTCTGTAGAAGCTGATGAGAATTACAGTCACTCACAATGTTAACAGGAAAAAAAAAAGAAAGAAAAAAAATCAGATTGATTAGTTCAATGCCAGGCAGTCAAAAAAATCTGTCTTACAAAACAGATTCTTCACCCCATTTTACTCTTTTCTGGTTATGAGGCATCAGATCACACACGAACAGCAAAAATGGGTTGCCATGCTTCCACAGATACTTTCAAAAACTGTTTCAAGAAATTTTCAGTCACTGTCATCCTTCACACTCCTGATTTATCACTTCACAAGAAGTAGGTACAGGGAAAAGCCTGTCTTTGGTGCATGGAAGCACAGGGGAAAAAAAACCACTCCTGCTCTTTCAACTCAGTTTTTGCTGCTGTGCAAACACAAAAAGATTGTCCTTGCTGGGAAAAAAAGAACTAGTGACATAGCAAGAAAGAAAAATTATTTGAAATGTGCTATTTGGGGCCTAACTCACATGTTCTCCTGCTTAGGTTGACAACCTATTTTTAGTTGCATATATTTCTCCCTGGATATTAAAACTCCTAACAAAATTTCACATGCAACACCGCTTTGTTGACTCTGGATATAACTATCTAAAAAACTTTAAAAAGCTTTCTGTTTAATGGACTATATTCAGAAAGCATAAAGACTGCATAAAGAGCTTGAGAGCCATATAACCACAGACCAAGCAGCATGTTTACATTTTTCCACTCCATGTTGAAGCTTCTGCAAGTCTTATTAGAGTAACCAATTAAAAGTGTCTTCCAATTCATGTTAGACCTAACTAACTTCCTTAAACATGATAATAAAATATTTACATCAGTACCAGCAGGTCAATGGCCTGAGGTTTTACCAATCATAAAGGTTCAAAATATGAACTAAAATTGCCAAACCATTTACTCCTCTAGTGTGCCCAGAATAAGAATTTTCACAATTTGTTTCATTGACTTTCTATGCTTCTTTAATAACATACTGAAACACTACTCATATTGCAACTACAAAAGTAATACAATACTGTCGAAAGTATGCCTCTAAGAGACCAAGATTATGTATTAATGGGCCTTTTAAAGATGGCACATACTAACATAAATGTGATAGCAAACTGGAAACATGGATAGTGGAATTTTTAAACAAAGCAAGTGGTTTAACATCCTACCACAACAAGTTTTGTGAGAATATCTTATGTTTAGGAAAGTTATACAATAACCATTGTTTGTTACTGTATCATCCAAACACCTCCCACAGCATATGAATGAGGGACTGAAATGCTCAGCTCCACATTGCCAATACTGAAAACATGTATAAATCAAGTTTTTATTTAATCACCGGGTTCATATTTCAGAACAAGGATAGTTTTACTCATTCATTCTTAGAAGTTGCCACTATGTGTCTGTACTAACTTTATTTAACTTGGAATTATACAAAGCCCCTTACCTCTGTAAAGTCTGACACAAAAAAGGATGTTGTTCCATCATATTCCACGAAATGCTTTGGAAATAATTTAACCCAAGTATCATCACCGTAAAAGATTATTCTTTTCCCGGCTGTTTTTGCCTGCCATATCAGATTGTCATCCAACAGAGCTGGAGAATTGAGGTTCACAATAACATCAATGAAACCAGGTATGCTACCCGTCATCAAAGCCTACATAAAACAAGAAAACAGACATATTAACAGAAACCAAGAAGTTTCCAGTATTCAGAAGACAGTATTAGTGTAAGAGGAAGAAGTGAAGCAGAGGGCAGAGAAATTACATGTTCAATAAAGAAACACAATAAAGTAAAAGAACACACGAGCTGCCATGCCACATCACATCACCTGCCACAGGACAGTGCTAGCTGATGTCAAGAGATAACAACTGCTTTACAGAAAGGTAAAAATAATATTTTCTTAATTAGTGGACACCAAAACAACTTTGTATGCCAGTTGAAATTTGCTTCATTTACTAGTCATTAAATCACCAAAAAGACAGTTTAGAAGGCCTACGTAAACTGACTTAACACAACAATAACAATGGTAGCACATTCAAAACAGTAATTAAGAACCTTCTGGAAAATGCAATGAAGTCCACCTATGAAGAGCTACCAGACTGTCTCCCCCTCACTCTCTCACTGGCCTTCTAGCTGACCTACCAAAGCTCACTCAGCTTTTTCAATGCAAGAAATGTCACTCAGATCCATCACCAGGAAGCCTGGATGATCAAGTATTTTGATGATACAGCCACAATTCATCTTTTATCTACCCTGAACTTGGCAGTTTTCTTTTTAAGCTCTTCAAAAACATCCCTATGTCAAACCAAATTCACACTAAACTGGATTTCCTATCAGAAGTTACAAGAACACAGAGAAATACCAACAAAAATGTTCTTGGATGGAAGACAACTAGAAAATTTGACAACTGAGAGGTTACTGCTTTCCCATGATTACAAATGAAAAGATTAGGTCAATCATTTAAGCCTGCACTAGGGCCTTAACTGCCCTTAACTGATTCTCACAGACCTTCTTACCACAGAGCTACCAAATAAAGGAACAAAAACAAGGCAAAGTGACTTTAAGTAGAAGCTGTCACCTCGTCCTCTTACTCAGCCTCTCTACCTTCCTTTGATCCCTGACCTGACCTTTCCTGCAGGAAGCACCTCTGGGCCATGGCAAATCATGACTCTTATCACATGCACTACTACAGCAAAGCAAGTTTCAGCCACAAATCGCAGTAACACAGCAAACTTACCCTTTATGCCAATTCTGAGCATATGAAACAACCCAGCCTTCAAAACTTTCTCAAATGAAACAACCCTAAGTGGAAAAAACCCACTTACCTTAATTCGAGGCATAGTCACAGTGGGTGGCTTCGCTTCAGCAATGAAACTGTAGGATGTCCCTTTTTCAACAACTTGTGTAGTATATGGCATGAACTGTTTACCTTTGGATCCAAACACAAAGTCACCTCTCAAAGCATCTATCAGCACAATGACAACTTTTTTGAAAAGTGGTGGTGGTATTTTGGTCCAGTTAGAAACCATTCCTAAACAACAAAAAAAGGGTATACAGAAGTCATCAACGAATTTTAACAATGGCTAAACAGAAGTTAAAGGACAACTTCACCACATAAATGAGTGCTTTCAACTTCTTTATTAACTTTACATTCAGAAGTGACAAGTTGCAAACAATAGCAAACGTGAGAAGTAATCAGAGGCAGCTGAGTTTTTAGGCCACCCAGCACAGGAATGACACAACAACAACAAATCCAATACAGCATCTAGGAAGAAAAACAAAATGTGAATGGAACGCACAATGTGAAATTGTGAAAACTAAGGAAAAGCTAAGAAATGGAGAATGTTCAAAGGAATAAGAAGGGATAGCTGCTACCCTCTCTCTGGTTAATTTACTAAAGCTGAACTACATATAACCAACAGACAACTTCTGTCAGAAAAAAGATGCAGCATTCACCTGTACTAATACCCAATTTTGCACATCAGAACATATCTCAAGCAATGCCTCTCAAACAAATCCCACCATAAGAGAACAGGAAAATTACAAAGAAAGAGACATTTTCACTGAAATTTGAAGGGAGAAGATTTGTGCACATTTGCACCCTTCAAGGCAGAAGACTGTATGCCAGGATGGTTCAGTGATGGCAGCTGCAGGGCCAAAATCCAATTCCAGAATGCCCTGAACATGCTACATGGGCAGGCACAGCAAAATGCTGCTGTGCATTGGGGAGTGGGCAGTGTCATACCTTCAAGCCCACCTCTTTCTCTTGTATGGACTTAATGCTGGCCACAGCACGTCTTCATTTGCATTGAGCTTGGTCCACATCGTGACATTTAGCTTTTACAGCAGCAGGTTTTGGCCCAACCTCTACAGGTCCCACCCATATCTCTACCAGGAAAAAAAACCACAGAAGGACAAAATGGAAGCAGAATGGATCCTACCCACAGATCTCTACTCAAACAACATTATGGTGAATCAACTTCTCATGTATTTGTACATGTATTACATAAATTAGGGTTTTTACATTACCTTAGAGTAAAATATGTTTCTGAATAAGCAGCTGACAATTTCGAATGGTCACAGATAATGTCATGTCTAACAAGAGAACCTCAAAAAACAACCTCAGAAACTGTATTTTTGGGTACATAGATAAGCATCAATAAATTGACATTCACAGACTCGTTACTGCTACTGATTTTTCCAGATAAGGAAATTGGGGAGGGGTGCACAGCAGGGGGAATAAGGAAATCTCAACAACAACAAAATGCTAACTGCCAGCAACCCCGATTAAAACGATAATGTTGTTTTTCCAGGACTTGAGTTATCACCTTAGCAGGCATGCTTTCACTCTCAATGAAAAACAAGAAGGCACAACTGGATGTACTGTACTGTTAGTTAAATCTTTCTCCTAATTTACTCCTACCCAGTTGCTTAGGGAAACAAAACTTGCTGGACACCAAAAATGTTCAGATCACAAACACATACACCCTACTCACAACTCCCTCCTACAGTGTTACTTATCAGTAAGTCAAAGTATTGAGAAGAGCAAAGGAATTAGGAATTGATTACAAGCCATCTGAAAATACTTATTGTAAGATAGCTAAAGCAACACACTGTGCAACTCTTGGCATGTGTCATGCTTATTTATCCCTGCTACAGTTATTTAGAAAACAGTCACTTTAAGTGAAGCTGAACTTCTGTAAGCAGTGAACAAAACCACAGATTCTACCAAAAACTTACCACAATGATGTGCTGCAAGGATTCACTATTATCCAAGCAACTACACAATTTTATCAGTCATCCCACAGGCAAGACAGCGTGGATTCAATGGCAGTCAGGGCTCATAAAGTCAAACATTCAGGAAACACAAGAAACACTGAAGAAATAATCTTTTCTGAGCAGATACAAAGTAGGCTGAAAGCCTTCTATATCACAGTTTAGTAAGCAATCCCCTGCCTTTAGAGCTTATCATCCAGATCAAGAGATCACTCTGCAAGCAAACTGTAACCCAACAACTACAGAAAGGAAGTACTCTTCCACCGTCACTCCATTTTTGCCTACCTGTACCTAGGATTACTAGTGACATGCCTAAATTTAAACGCTTTGTAGAGCCCTGTGGTACACATTTATACTCTTTAACTCAAAACAGTCTTTTCAAAACCCAATTGTCTGACACTTCCCTCCCACCCAGTCTCTCTCCATGTTAGTCTCCTGCTAATCAGCACATGTGAATGCAACATTTCACTCAAAGCAGCCTATCAAACATGTCTGACAGTCTTGGTAATCTCCAGCTAAAAAGCAACCTGCCATTTGGCAGCGTCCACTCAGGTCTGTTACCAGATTAGATTCTTTCAGTGTTCCTGCTTAACTGATATCAGCACACCATGCTCTAAATTACACAACCTTCTCTTGCCTCCACTGTTTCTCGCAATTTAAAGTAAGCCTGTCCCAACATGTATAATGTCATATACTTTAGAAGAATTAACAATAACAAGCAGCTAAAGACCCAGTTTGGCAGTTACAGTCCTGTTCCACCAAGTTAACCATAAGTAGATGTCATAAGCAAGAGCTCTGTATGAGCAAAATACTACTCAATTCAGCTCTCCACTGAACCTGAAGTTTCACCCCACAAGCTCCAAACACTGGCGAAGAACACTCCTCCAAGTACACATTCCTCTTCTTCATGTTATTTTAATACAACTTGTGACTGGACATTTAAGATAGCTACACATCAGCACATCCTCTACGGACACTTCATTAAAAAGATGCCTGAAAACTTTGGTTTCACAAGTTCAGCTAAGGAATACAGCAGGACCTGTAGAGACCATTATTTCAGAGAAACAGCAACAGAAACAGTAATATTGTGCATTTTGCAACATGACCAGATTGTGAAGGAAACCTGTATTCCTGCAGTCGCTTTCATCACTACTGAAGTGTTAGAATTCTGTCTCACTAAAGTGCATTAAGGCACTCACACACCACAGTGAGCAGCATCACAGAAACGACGATTGTCAAGCACACACAACCAGTAAGTTAACAGAGCAAACACATGAAGCATTATAACTGAAATGGCATTATTTAAAGCAAACAACTTACCATTAAAGAGTATGGGTATGACGGCTGTATCAGAGACAGGGAAAGGGGAATAAAATGACAGAAAAGCACACCCTCCAAAAATGTGACAGCTGATGCTTAAGGCTTTTTGCCACCGTGAGCAGATACTGCTGGCAGTGACCGATGACTACATGCAACACTAGTTAAGTTCTGAACTATTTCGGAAACAGGTCTGGAACCACGATGGCGGTACAGAAAGCTGTCCCGCGGCACCGAGGGGCCTCACGGCGCAGGGCTCGCACCGGCTGCTCCTGCCTCTGCAATCCCAC